GATCAGCACCGATGTTTCGATTCTTTAACGATGCTCACGCAATCTAGTACCGCCCCCCCCCAATGGTTAGATTGTTCGGGACATCGTTAATGAAACAAACTGGCAGAGCAGACGAAACAAAAAAGCCCCAATTATCCAGTCCAGCGAAAATATCAACCGGGACAAAGGATAAGACGTTGGATAAGACCTATCAAGTCTGTAACCCAAAAACTACTTAAACAGCAGCGTGGGCGAAACGTATAACCTTCGGCTCCAGAAGCCAAAACAGATGCGGACCACACAACCAGCTGCAGAAACCAACCCTGACCATCCTGAATAAAGACTCGTGAGAGACGAGTCAAAACACCGGTTGCATTGTGTATATATAAACCGTTTTTATGCAGTTTTCAATTTCAAAAATAGACTATAAGACCCACCCTCAATCCGACATTGCTGTCGCTCAGGTGAAAACCGCAGACGATATGGATAGTAGAAATCCTAGTGTGAATATTCGACCAATACTTTTTCTCCACAGTGTATACGGTAAAGATCCACATGTTCGAACTGCTATACACTAAACGGCACAATACATCGATGAGCTTTGTTGAGACGACAGGAAACTCAGTCCCAGAATTTACCAGTGTGATTCGAAATAACGGAAATGGAAACACGTATGTTAATGGAAATCTGAAAGTTAAGAAGAAAAAACGAAAAAGACAATTCAATAAATTTTCCAAAAATTGGGAAAATCTAGCGAGACGTAGCGCCTTTGGCTGTGTACTTACTTCGTTCTTTTCCAAAAAATCAGTTCGAATATCTTTGTAGATTTCCTTAACGTCGCTGACTAGTTCTTCCTTCATCACAGGATCAATAAGAGCCGAACACTAGAAAAAAAAAGAGATCATCACCGCTGCTAGCCACATATCTGGTTGTACCACAGGAACACTTCGACTAGCGTCGGTGACATGTATCACCGGACCGGAGTAACAAGGAGCGATTCGAACCGCTGTATGTTGTCTGCCCATAAATTATCAATATAAACATATGGTTGCAGAGCTGA